AAGTACTTTAAAACATATAAATTAGTTACCCGGGCAATTGATTTACACTAGCCAATCAGACGAACTTCCTCCTATGATTTTCACATAGGACTAATAGACTTGATTTACATAGTGCATCGAACACCCCAATGATTCGTCGTAGTAAATAATCGACAATTGTTAGACACATAAAACTCTTGAGTTTGAGCAACCAAAATTTGTAGTACAAACTTTAAATTAGCCAAGCAATCCATAAAACATAAATAATGTTTATGCAAGTATTTTTAATTTTTTCGATGTACAAACATAAACAAGGATGCACAATATATACATTGGACAATGACATATTCCGAAGACTATTCTTTTTCCACTTCTACATATACTTCAAATATCGAAATACCAAATATGTTGAACCATTTAATAAGATTGTTGGCCGCGAATAATAACAAGTAGACTTTATATTAGTTATCAGTTTGCACTCATTAATAATTTAATTACCTTATTCAGAGGCAAAATTCGGACGTTTATAAAGTCACAGCTTACATAAATCTAGTTACAATCTAAGAGATCAAGTAATTCATAAAGAACAAGTTGAATAATCAAAACAGCAAAATAATGATCGATGGTAGGCCAAAATTTATTCGCGTCGCTATTTTTTAAGCTTTATAATTTGTACAAATTCATATATAAACTTGTACCACCAGCTATCTTGACATATTACCTACCCTTCGCCAACATTTTTTCCGTTATATACAAGCATAATTGCTTTAAGTAGACAAATTATTGTTTATTTATATAGAAAGCGATTTAATTTTGAATATAAAGGCAATATAAGATAATCCACTATCAATCACTAGTTTCACCACCCAAATCCCAATAATTTTCTTTGAGGTATTCGCGTTGAACCACTAAGAATGATCGTGATGGGAACTGCAGGAACGGGTAAATCTCTCCTCATTAAAGTGATCAGGGAACAGGCTTCGCGAAATGGCGGGGGGTCTAAGATACCTATACTCGTCCTTGCTCCAACGAGGGCTGCAGCTTTCAATATCAGAGGGGTGATAATTCACTCAGCGCTCTCCATACCAATAATAACTGGTAACAAAAATGTTGGCATAAATGGTGAACGACTAAAACAGTTACAGCAAAGATTAGAAAATGTCGAATACATTATTATAGCTGGTGTTTGATAAGTCCCTAGACAGGATCTTTTTGTTAATCACTTAAAAATTTCTAGCTAGGACCTTTTTACTAATAAAATACGTAATACTTTTGATAATCAAAGTGATCAATAAAAAGTTCCTGTCCAGGGACTTATCAAACACCCGGTAGAAGAATTTTTCTGCCACCACGTGACCAGTTCATTCTTGGTTACTTTATTGTGACATTATGTGTACAACATATTCTTTGTAGCTGTAACCATAAACTACTATACGTAGTAATTTGCCGGCCTACTTTTTAAAGTTTTTTTTCTTGATACAGTTGATACAGCAAACTAAATATGTATTTGTTTCATATTTTATATATTGTTATTCTAACAAATCAAATTTTAACATATCATAGATCAAAAATATTACTTTTGAATGGCCGGCAAATCAATAGTTGTTTAAACCCTGGCTGTAACTCTTGGAAAATCTTTTTCTAAAATAACCAAATTCGGAATATGCAATATGCCGCAGTACACAAGTGAGTACTTTCATGAAGCTACGTATTCTTTTTTCGAGAAAATGTATGTTAAGCAAATCTAGTTTTTATTGACTATATATTGAAATTTATATTTTCTAAATAAAGGTAATACTAATTTTTTTTTCAGCTTTCTTTATAACGAACCGGATATTTTTGAAATAAGTTTTTCTGAGTTTACAGCTTGTTATAAAGGCGTTCATACATATGTGCAAATATAGTATCGACTCATATGCACATATATGTAAGGCGTTTTATTTACAGTATACTAACATCTGGATTATATGAATTATTTATCGTATTTGTCGATCAATGTAATATGATTGGTTATGAATCACATGACGTGGCCGGACAAACTGCCAATTTTTTTTACATTGCACAGAAATACAGTGTCCGTCGCTTCGCTCCGGACAATTAACAACAATTTCAACGTAGCCACTTGACATATCCCTAAGTTTGAAGAAATATTTAATTGAAGCAATGATTGTTAGAAGTTATATTAAATATGAATTTTGGCATACCTTCATGAGTACCTCTCGCGTTCCACCGGCTTGACCACCACCACCACGATCCCTTTCAAGTACGAAAAGAGCATCTTTCACTGTTACTGCTGGAGTGACATCACCTGCATCCCGTGAAACCCTCCCACTAGCATCATGTGCTGCAGAATATATATGGTCGCCGCGTGTGCCTAGACCATCTCTTTTATTTACTAAAGGTCGACCATTTGAAGTTGAACGTGAGCGACCACGTGACGGCCTAATTCCAGATGAAGTACCGTTGCTGTTTGTTGATATAGCTGAAGACTGAGAAGTTTTATCAATAGCACCTTGTAACATCCAACTTTTCGTTAGACCACCGGCAGCTACCAAAGCTGTTTGATTAGTGCTTGTGGCAATAGCCTCATTAGTAAGCTTCAATGACGAAGCAGATGAGGATTCTTTTTTTTGACGTTTAACACGTTTTGGTTGATGAGTCGGAGCATCAGTTGAATCTTTTACATCATCTGTTTGGTCGTCACCTATATTATCTTGCGATGAACCAGCAAGGCTTTCCTGCCTTTTACGTTCTTGATCCCTTTCTACTTTTTCCATGGCAGCTAATTGTGATCTAACATCTAGACTGACAACTTCTTTATACATGGGCAAACTGTTTTCGGAGGCAATGGGAAGATTTATATGTTCCGAATGTATTCTGTGGTTTTTCGCTACTATCATTGTTTCGATTAACTCTCGGATTCTTTCTTGTGTGGCGAGTGCCAAGTAAGCTAATGCGTCAGGCGGTACGTTTACTATTTTGTGCTGTAATGCTTAAATTTTTGTAGTGAAAAGTTGTTAGGACCATATTACAAGAAAATATAATTGTTACAAAAAGACAAGAAAAAAAGAAATTACCTATCGATTGAACTTTTGCGGCAAGACTTCTCTGATTTAAAAAATTTTGGGAGCGTGAACGGTCTGGATATTGAACTAACGTGGAAGATTGACGCGCTGTCATTAACTCGTGTTCTCTACGAATATTGATTTCCTCTGCCTATTATTATAGTTTAAATGTGTTTTGAAAATGAATACTCTAATTACTGTTTAATTTTTAATAACTTTTTTCAAACAAGCTCGTACTTTTATATCTACTCCAGACGAAATAAGAACGTCATTTTCTGTAAAGTTTGTACTTTTTTCTTCGGATTGTGCTGTTGCGCCTGCTGGCGCTGTTGACCTTCGACTATAAAGTGAGGTGAGAAATTTTGAATCCATGTAACATATTGTTAAGACATGTATCATAGAGAATAAAATAAAATTTTAAATGTACCCTATAGGACCCCCGTTTTGCAAGTCTATAAAAAAAGTGCAAGTTTAATGTTAGAAAAATAACCATAATAATAAACGAAGTACTAGATTGGCTTTCAAATTTATTCCAAACCGTTGAAGTACGCATAAATTTGAAAGTGTCAGCCAAATAGAAGGTTAAACTCACTAGTGCCACGCGGTAACGTTGACAGCGTAGTAGGAATACCGTAAGTTGGACGGTAACCCACAGGGGGAGGAGGAGGGCCCATAGGCTGCCCACGAGGAATTGGCTGCGTTCCTTGATCAGGTCGATTGATTGGAGTAGTTGCTCCTTGCATGTTCGAAGAAGTTGGAAATCAAATAATCCAACGAAACAAGAGATCTTAGTAAAAAGTGGATGCTTTTAGAGGCTTACGGAGAAGCGAAGAAAAATTCCCAAGCTTCTCTTGTTTGTACAAATTATAATTTGCCAGGGGAAAAAAATCTGGTGAAAAAAGATAGTCAGATATTGAGGACAGAGTAGTGGACGTGGATGACATTGTTTTGTTTGTGTTAACCGCATATGCGCAAGCCTCTTAATGGACTATAAAAATGACATAGAGCCGGCCAAAAAAAAATTAATTTAGTCAATCACCCTTGGTACAATCATTCAGAACAGTTTTAGAGCATGGAAACACAGATAAATATATTACTAATAAAAAGTTAACGCCGACAAATTTTTGAGAGCTTTGATTGGCTGTTTGCTTTATTACACAATCATAAGCCTGTTTAACATATAAGTTGGCGAATTTAAAAAAAATACCTATATGCGTCGACCAACAGATTTTTCAAAAAAAAAAAATAATCCTTTAATATTAAATTTCTATTTTAACCATCATCGATATGTGCTCACTTCCGTTGTCTATTTAAAAAAAAGGAATGTGCACACATCTCTATAATTATACATATTGTATTCTCATTTAGCCGGATTATGCAGGTTACTTCAAAATTTTTCTTGATTTTTGGTATTGGAAATCGAGTTTTTATACGAACTGTATTTATAGTCGTACTGTATCGTGCTTTATGTACATTTTGTAAATTAAAATATAAACTTATATAAATTATTTTGTTTCTCATAACCCGGCAGGGTTATTTTTGATTGTTAAGCTTCCGAAGGGTTTTAAAACGGGTCTATTAACACCATAGTTGCGACACTTCTTTTAACTTTAATTCTAACTCGAATTAGCCAGGGCAACCTGTGGCGTCATCAGTTTATAACAAATCGATGTGCACAATATTCTCAGTACACACGTTTTTTTTTTTTCGTTTTACATATATGAATTTTCCTTGTGTGATTTAGATTTATACACTGGACGCTAGTACAATATTAAAATTTAATTAATCGTAATCGATCATTTTTATGATTGTTTTAAATTGAATTGGCTGGTGCCACACATCTGGTCAGATGAGGCTAATTTTTTACAAGATATATATCAAATTAGAAAATTAGAGATGCGTAAGGTTAAAATAGCAAATTTTTAAAATCTCCAATTTAAATACAAATACGCCAAAGGAAAACCCAATTATTCGGGCTATTTAAGGGTTGATTCCGATAAGTTCCGATAAGTTATAAGGCCAAAGTCCGGTTTTCCCTGGCGTCACTCATATATGGTTGAAACTGTAAAATCCTAATTCCACTAATAATTTAATGAATTCCTTGTTATATATTTCATTCTAACGCAACGATTTTCGTTGATATTGCAACTACTTTATACTTACACAGTGCTCCCGTAAGTATACAGTCGACTCTGGATATAACGAACCTGCTTATACCTAACTCGGGCTATAACGAACCAGTTCTGGTAGGACCTATTTTTTATAAGAATTTAGGCTATCTATACCGAACTTATATATATAGTAAATTTTATACACCGCATCTTTACCAGCCTAAGATTATGTACGCATATTTCGATATAACGAACTATCGTTGGCCACTGCCTACAGTATCCCCCAAAAATAATACCCCATGATTAAGACCCGGGTATTCTTCTTCATCCCTACTGGCATGTTGCTTAAATAAGACCAGGGGGGACAACTATATTGATTTACCACTTTTAATATGATATATCCCCAAATATAGTACCCGGTTGTTCTTGAATAAGATCTTGGGTATTGTAGGTAGTGGCCAACGGTATTTGTTGCCGTTTCCGAATATCCCGAACCGGAGCAAAAATTTCGAACAAAGTTCCGAGAAGTTCCGAAGATGTTGTGATTCTATACATGGTTTCATTGGTTACCGAACTGTTTGGTATAAAAAAACTAATATAAAGAACCAACTCTATGCCGAACAAAACCTCCCAGAATATCCAGAGTCGACTTTCTAACATTCTGCTTTAGCGTTGCTTCTTTGATGGGCATATGTCCGTTAGAATATAATCTAATTCCGTTATTTAATCGATTATGAAAAGTTGAAGTATTGTACGTATAGTATGTTTCGATGCCAGATTTTTAACGTCTTTACATAAAAAAGCTTACCGTACGTGAATACATGAATACAATAATTATTTAATTCGGCTCGAAACGTACAAAGAACTGTCTTTGATTATCAATATATTCTTTAGGAAAAAATATATTTGAGTGTCGCTAAAAGAAAACCCGAAAATTTAAATTTAAATTTTCGTGTTTTCATTTAGCGACACTCATTTATTAAATTTTTTTATCTAATACTATACAAAGCAAAAATTGCACAATAACAAGATATATATGGGTTTTTTTTTAAAGAAAAATAATATCTATACTTGGGTTTATAAATATCCACCCCTATTTTTAGAGGTTTGCTTAGAATATTATTACAAGATTTGTCATATAACTTATAGACTTTTACTAAAACGCATCTATGGTGTTTTACATCTATATATATACTGTATATATTATCTCAAAAACTAATTACCGTAGTGCACTGACCAAAGGATAGATTAGCGGAGAAACAAAAATTCAGCAGATCGGCCCGAATTATGGTCGGAATGCACCGGCGTTGATTAATTTTGCCCAAGATCGCACAAAATTTTACTAATGAAACCATAGCCCACTCACTAAGTAAAGCTGCCCAAATGATAATTTTGATGTAATACAGTTAGTTGTTGTTATTTATTTAAAATAAAATTTTTTGGGGTGCATTTGTTAGGGATAGGGGTTAGGGTTAGGGGTAAGTTTTAAAGTAAAGTTATAATAAACAAGTATAAGTAGGTTTTAACAGGTTGAGTAGAAAATCTAGATTTCATTTTAAATTATGATCCGCGACATTTATTAATGCCGGCCTAAATCCAACTCATAATTCGGGCCGATCTGCTGAATTTGTGTTCCTCCGCTAATCTATCCCTGACCAAAGTACTCCCCTTTTTGCGAACCCTCACTCAAAATACTCGGGTACTTTGTATAGCATTTTTTTTTTAACCAAGGATAATACCCGGGTATCTTGCATAGTATTTTTCATGTTAACACATACAGTATTGATTTCTGCATTACAAGTTACTTATCACTGATCAAGATACCTACGGGTACTTTATAAGTTTTTTTTTGGTTAGATTGTATTGGACACCGGGTACTTTGGTCAGTGCACTATGGTAATTGGTATAAGATATTTTAAGTAAAAATGTTCTATGTTCAAAAAACTTTTTCTAAACTCTAACTCTAAAATTAATTCTAATATAAAAAAATTTGTATTAAAAATTTTGTATAAAAAAATTTAAAAAAATCTAAAAAATATAAAGTAAAAATGACAAAAATTCGAATATATCTCATTTTGAGATAATTGAATTTAATTACTTGTTTTGATTTTTAAACTGATTCGGTTAACCAAAATTTTATAATTTTGATTAGTTAAAAGTAACAGGTGATTATTAGATAATTTAGCATGATAAACAAATTTAAATTTGATAATAATCATTGTAATTAAATAAAAAATTTTTTTAACTTTTTATACATGTTAAATTATTTTTTATTTTTATAATTTTTCAAAAAATTACCAATTAAATATGTTTAAAAAAAGTAATAGAAAGAAATACCTTTATACTATTAAAATTAATTCAAAATAATTTTAGTATTTAAAAAGTTTTATTAAAGATGAAGTTTATAAGAAATTTAAGGTAGTTAATATGTAATTTAAGTATATACAAATATTTTGGCATTAAAATAAAAAAGAATAGTATATAGTTAAGATCTAATACTTTGTAAAAGAAGACAAAATGATTTCAAATAATGTTAATACAAAAAACTAAGTAAAAAGATATATTAACTACATTTTATATTTTTTAAAAATACAAAAAATTATATTATAATAAATTATTGTTTTTATTAAGTTATATTTTATTAAATTTTAACTATTATTATTTTAAATTATAATATAAAACAATTTGAAAAATAAGTCTTATTAGTATATTAATTGATGATTTTCCAGTCAACTGAAGAATAAACATAGTAAAACATGACTCAGTTTACTATATAAATTTAATATAGGCTGAATATGAAATTGCTCCAAGGTAAACTTTTTTTTGTACTAAGTTAATCGATCTTGTCAATTAATTAAAAGTTGTAAAGCTCATCTTTGCAATTTTAATGGTGGTTAAAGCGTCAAAATCAGCCTAGTGAGTATCAAGATATCTTTAAAAAGCATTTCTTTTACTATGTAAACTTCTTTGCAAATGATACTATTGTTTGACTATTGTTTGCAAAGAAGTTTACATAGTAAAAGAACCATTTTTTAAAGATATTTTGGCACCTACTAGGCCGATTTTGATGCTTTAACCACCATTAAAACCGCAAAGATGAGCTTTACAACCTTTAATTAATTGACAAGATCGATTAACTTAGTATAAAAAAAAAGTTTACCTTGGAGCAATTTCATATTTGGCCTATATTAGATTTATATAATAAATTGAGTCATGTTTTACTATGTTTATTCTTCAGTTGACTGAAGAATCATCAAT